CCTGTGACAGTCTAACAGTTTAGGAGACCTTTATTGTAGAAAACAAGTAGACCCTCTAGTACGAATTACTATTTTTCTAGTTTTGCAGCTGTAAATCATCCGAGTTCCAGCAAAACATGTAAGTAGGAATGCTAGAGTGGGTCATTTGGAAGGTATCTGTTTTCAGACAACCCTCAAAACTTATTTACCATGCCACTCAGAAAGCTTTCCACATCTAGAGGTATCACTTCTCTACATAAATCTGCACGCTTTTTCTATATTATTGTGAGCTCTGTGATACAGGAGGTAAAAACTTCAAAAATTGTTACTGACTTAAAATGGTAGGGTAGGATTCTAGAGCATATAGTTAGGTATTTCCACTGCCTTAAAGTCTTGTAGCCCTCATATGTATGTAGGAAATTTATATCAAAGTGCAGCCCAATCTTGTAAATGCTTCTGGCATGTTTCAAAATAAAATAATAAAATAATCAAGGACAACTGAATTAAAGCATAGAATATTACTAGCATATTGAAAAAAAAGTTTTCAGGCATATATTCACAAATTTGTTAAAGTTAGGAAATAATGCAGAACTTCATCACAATGCAAAGCTTGTGTTATCATTTCAATATAGACACAAAGCTGACCTTTTTTATAAGCAGACTGAAATCAACGAAATTCAGCATATACTGACTTTGTGACAAGCATGATTAATAAGGTGTACAAATCCTTGATTTAGGAAATATTTTCTAAATATTCCTCTGCAGTAGCACACTCAAAGTATTGTTTTATTACAAAATCTTGTTGCTACTTTGAATCAACAGTATTTTATAAGGTTTTTTTCTTGATGCAATATTTTCACATTTTTCAGTATTGCTTTTAAACATCCAAGAAAAATTCTCTGTCCGCATCCCATGCAATATGGACCATTCAGACTGTAGAAATAATATAGGCAATTGCTAGCAAGCCAGATAGGACTTTTTGTTGCATACTGAAGCTTCCAGGTAGCATTAATTCCTTTAACTGGACAGCATTAAGTTAGACATGTACAAATCTTTCATCTTTTGTTGGGTTTTGGGGAGCTGAAATCCAGGATGTATCCAACTTTTTGAGAAAGGAAAAATACATTAATCTAGGGCTTGACCCAATGTCCACCTAAGTCAAGAAAAAGATGAAATTAATTCTAGTTGGTTTGGGATGAAGCCATTGACCATCTACAGATAAGCTTCCTCCACCGATTAAGTTATTACATATTACTGAACAATCCAATTGGTGGGTTTTTTTTTTTTTTTTCTTCAAGACATCAAAATAAAGCAGAAGAGCTTGCAATTTTTTTTTTAATTGTTAAGACTTCTAAGTAATGACTGTAATTCAAGGCAAAGCTTGGTTTTTTACAGAGCATCCTCCATTTTTTTTTTTCTTGCAAAAGTGTTCTGCAGGCTGAATAATCTGAACTACTGACCAATGACTGAATGCTGGAGTTCAAATTATGAATAGTAAGATCAGAATTCTGAGGAGGACTTTGTATTCAATAATTCTCTCTCTAAAAAGGACATTTACGTTTTATTTTTACAAAGCTGATTGCTTTATTGATTCACATTGTTGCTCCTTCTTTAAAGTACTGGATGATTACCTCCCTAGCAGAAGAGGATTTTTTTTCTGACAGGGACTCATAAGTGTCTTTGCAAATACTCCCTTAAATTTTTTTTTTTTTAAAATTAAAATCTCTTAATAGCTTTCATAGACTTCTTCTCCGACTTTATATAATGTTCAGAGATTGTTGTGTAATCTGATATGGTCTAAAACACTAAGGAAGAATTAAGACCATATCATTAGGATCTTTGTAGTTTGTTCTGTAATGGGGTCATAATTTTCATATACTCTGAATGTTTTCCTTCACTTCTATACTCTTCTGTCTGGTAAACAGGATGAAATAGCCACTTTTTGTTTCTCTCTTTGCAAAAGTCATGTTAGTATATAACATAAGTACTAGTAACGATTAGAAGGTATACCAGCATGAACTATACTGGGCAGAAAAGACCCAGTAAATGATATTGCTGTGCAGCTTCATTAGAAACAGAAAATCTAACAAGCACCCTATTCACCACTTCAAATACACGGAAATCTGCATTTCCCGAGGGAGATAAAGTATAATTAATGCAGCACAACCTGTATTTTGAAACTGTCTGCACACACGTTGTTTTCTAAGAGTAATTATCCACCTAAATCCAAAATCTAATATGTGGGCAAAAAAGACATAATGAATGTAAATTATAATAGTAAGTCACTTCTTTGAAGCTCCATCTTGAAATTTTGGGGAACTGTTTCCGCTTGAAAAATTACAAATTGAAAATATGGAAATGCAAAAAAAATATTATGACACGTATATCTGTGTTGATCCTCTTACCTGTGATTACAGGGACAATCTAACAGGTGCCAGGAGTAATTCTTGGGGAAAAAATAAGTGACAGACAGAAAGCTCTAGAGTAAACACATAAGTAGATACAGTTTAAAATGCATTTGTATGTGATGTCAATTGTGTTTTTCCATTAATAATGTCTTGATGTTTGGCCTGAAGTGATTATTACTTCATTTAAATAGAGCATCTGAGGATACACTCTAAGACCAAGTAGTCAGACAGATTATAAAGCGGTAAACGTAGCTTTTGGTCTTTCAAAGGGCTCCTCTCAGCACGGGAATTGCACCTATTTGACAGTGATACATACAAAGAAGAACTCCATATTTTCAGAGTTCAACAAGAGTTCATACATTTACGGTATTATATTAAATATTTTTTTAAGTAAGCAACAAAGAAGCAAATCTGAAAAGCTTGTCTTGCTCTAGTCCAATCAAAATCTTGGCAAAAAATATCACCAACCCATTAACTGCTGTAAAGGTCCATGTTCCTCTCATCTGTTTGTCTCTTTTTAACATAACGGGCATGTCCACAAAATTTTTTTTTTTGCTATTACCCTTCCTGTTCAGAAAAGCTGGTGAGTGCAGTCTTATGATAACTGTGATGGATGGCATCTTTTTTATTGTTTATTCTGTTCTTCTGTTCTGTTGAGGGGAGGGGCCTTCATTTTGTGGGTGTTTTTTGTGGAGTTTTGGTTTTGGTTTTGTTTTCCAGAAAAGTGGAAAAGGTAACAGACACTGAAATGAGGGAGAAATCACTCTTTCTTTGAAGGAATTACCAAGCTTGCTTACTGGGAGCGCTTCAGACTACAAGGTTCAACTGGCCAGGAAGACACAGAAAGCAGGTGGAAACCTGCAGGTTATAAAGAGACTGAGAAGTGGCACTGAGAAAAATGATACTAGAGACAAGTGATACTAGAGATATGATCAAAAGTTTAGGGAACAAAGCAGCTTAAAATGTCATTCACTTAACTGGTATTAAGCCTATAAGCAGGGAATTGCTGGGAAGAACAAAGCAAGTGAGAGGAAGTGTGTAAAGAATTTGTTGTTACTGTTGTTGTTCTCATTTGCTTTGAGTTATTTTTTAATTCAGAAATATTAATATTGTATTTTTTATTCTAATAAAATTTGGAGTTTCTGGTTTAAATGTCTTTTGTTTTGTAATTCACTATAAAAAAAATATTATAGGCTTATTTACTTCAAAGCTCTGGTTGACTGGAGGTTTTGGCAAAGTGAGAGAGTGAACATTTTACAAGAGGGAAGGCAGGAGGTAAAGAATTGCTATAAATTCATCAAAGTGAGAAAGATTACTAGACAGTTACCACAGTTTAATACTGGGCACTCTCATTTGTTATTATGATTAATGCCTTGGGTGACAGTACAGAAGACATCCAAGTGTTAGTATTTAGACTGTTGTAAAAAAAAATTCTTTAATGAAGTAGAGAATCAGACCGTACAAATCAGAGCAACAGAAGAACACACTTGTTTGTAGGTGCCCATGCATGCCTTGCCATATGTATGCACAAACACTACATTTAAATTTTAAAATGAAGATAAATGTAAAGTGCTGTATGTGGGCATTCTTATCCTAACCAGCTATGTGTTATATTTACGTTAATAATAAAGGACTTCAGCCAATGCAACATCATAATCTCAAGGCAGTCAGTTTTCTGTTGCTTGAAGTTTTAGCAGTGTGTAATGTCTTAAAATATAATTCTCCAATCCAATAAGCCATAGTATTGACACAGAATTACCAATAAAATTATCTCTTCACTGTGGTATGAAGAAAGGTCTATATGGCCACTACAGTTTACAAACTTAAAATGTAATATTTATATGGATCCATGAATAATGGCACCAGTTAATGTATTTGAAAACTATTTTATCCCTCAGAATCTTCCCTTGTTAGATATTACAGGAATCCCAATGAGGCTGTGTAAATTTTCAAACAGGCTGTTTTAATCATTCTGCTGACAAATTATGGATTTTACACTATATACATGACACTTTCTTTGGTTGACAGAGCTCTAGGAGTACGTAGTTTGGATCTAACTTTCTGTGCAAAGATCAGTTTTAACAGTAGGCAACAAACTGTAAACTACACGCCAGACTCTAGAGTTACACAGATGCACACCCCTGCACATATCCCTATGCCCATCATCACGTAGGCAGGAAACGGTTGGGTCAGGGATTCACCAAATTATAATCAAATTCATTTGTACTTAGAACAGACCTGTAGGCACCTACATTTTGCGGAGACTGACTCCTTTCAACAACTTATTTTACATACTTAAATTAGAGATCTGAGTTTCATTACAGCACTCCTAGAGATATGGTTAAGGACATATCGGGTGTTACATTGATGCTGAAAGGTTCAGAGAATTTACAAGTTACTAAATGTATGCAATTTTAATACAAGAAAATAATTTGGTTCTTATGCAGCACATACATAGTTATCCAAGAGGTATCCAAATCAGCATTTTTATAGCACATATTAATAATAAATTTATCAAAGGATTTAGAAATATTTCAGAAATTTCTATTCAGTTTAAATTAAAAGTCAGCACTACTAGTGACATTCATATATTGACATTAATATCTTAGGTACCTGTAAGTGATATGTTTGTGTTGCCATTTCTGTCCTGTTAACGCATAGCGTTTCCGACGAATGTTAAATTTGGAGCTACCTCTTGTTTGGTCAGGCACACCACACCGAGGCTTCTTCATCCAGCTGCAAGGAACAGCAACACATAGTTAAAGCAACATCAAAGAAAAAATCATAAGCCACAATACCCAACTAATAAAAAATCATAGTTTTTAAGTTGCAGTATTATTAATTGTTACAATGCAACAACGACTTAAAAAAAAAAAAAAAAGGAACAGTTATCTTCTTACCAAATGTATACTTTGAGGAACTTCACTGCATCCCACGACATTCAGAAAACAATTTATTTGCCATTATTTTTGGTAGTTTTTTTTTGCTACAACCTCTGAACAAAGACTTCACAACTGGACAAGTCTTTCACCATCAATAATTTATTCTGATTCATTCAAGATTATGATGTGTGTTACTAGCGTGCTTGCTGAAGATGAAGTACATACACAAAGATTTAATCAAGTCACTAGTTCTTAAATTATTTTTCATATTTTGTGATCTTTCTCTTTTGTTTCATTGTCATGATATTTTAATCAAAGAGCCCAGTCAACTGCCAGAATTTTTTTTTTATTCAAGATACTGAAATTTCTAACTTTATGACACTATTAAGTTAATTTGTCTTTCTTTCTTTCCACACAATGAAGAGTATCTCATTGCAACTCTAAGGTCCTAGTGGAGATATTTACCTCAAGAATTCTGCTTAAGAGTATCTGATGCTCTGCACAAAGTCAAGCTGAAAAGATCTAAATCACCAACAACAAAAATGACCATTGTAGCAGCACCAGGCTTTCCACAGAAGTGCTCAATTTTTACAGTGACCTTCCATATTTCAATATTTTCCAATATTTCAAAAACTTCAAATTTGTCAGCATTCCAAACATGTCAGAATCAGGATGACATCTGAGCCAAAAGCATGAGTTCAACAGCAGTCTCATTGAACTGTTTATCACCTGTAGTGTCAGGGGTTATTTAGTTCAAGTAAAAGTGAACAAAACTCAGCTGAAGTTATTATTTCTTTTATATGCTGACTAGCTGCAGAACTATTTTCTATCAAAAAGATAGTAAAATTAAAGACATTCACTGCGTAAGTAAAAGACAAATCTCCTTTGTTACTTTTCCAGTTCATTTGACTTTATTTCTATCATGCCAAATAATTTCTGAAGTAAAAGGTATAGTTTTCTGAAGGTATGTACCACGAGAGTAGTCATACCTCTATTCAGGCTTGCATGAATGAATTTCTGACCATTAAAAGAGCATTTAAGTGTTGTTTCATAAATAAATATACACACAGCAGCTGTATGTTTGTATGAGTAGATGACACGAAAGTAATTTGAAATGTCATCTCAGAAGGCAGCCTCCTTTAAAACATGCACAGGTAACAAAAACTAAAAAAAACCAACCAGCCAACCATCTTTTGCCTTTTCCAGTAGATATTCTTAGTTCAATATATGCAAAATATTCTACTACCAAAAAATTGGTAGATGCCCCATCCCTGGAAACATTCGAGGTCAGGTTGGATGGGGCTCTGGGCAACCTGATCTAGTGGAAGATGGCCCTGCTTACTGCAGGGTGGTTGGAACTCGATGACCTCCATGGTCCCTTCCAACTCAAACTATTCTATGATTCTATAAAAAAGAAGAAAACCATCTTGCTTTGTCCAAAAGAAAGCATGAAATATTTGCAGTACAAAGAAGTAGTGTGTGTGTGTGTGTGTGTGCGTGCATTTGTGTAAAAAACTACACAATCTAATTAAATCATTGATTTTTCAGTTGTGTATTCAAGGAATGAGATGTGCATTGTAAGTTTTACATCCACTGATACAAGACCAACATATTGCATACTGAATTAATTTTTAGAGATGGGCTAATACAGTCAAAATCAGCCACACTGACATTCATAAATCTGTGCAAAGAGGTCTAAAAGTACAGCCAGACTTTTAACACTTCATATAAGGTGTAGCTATGGATATATAGCAAACTATAGTTTAAATGCATAAGCAGGAGTTAAGCTCATCAGCCTGTGGGAAAATACAACATTTCAGTGATAGTTCCAAGATGGCACTACACCCAACTTGCACTGATAAAGACTGCAGAAGTGACTGCAAAAACTTGGATGGGTGACACACCCACCAAGTAGTACAAGTGTGGAAGCCAAAACTTAGGAATCTGACTGCCTGAAAACACTGAGTTCATAGTTACCGGTTTCAATAAGAAATACAAAACTATTTTCTCTAATTTCTGGACAGAATAACTACAAATATGCGTGGCGCATAAAACGGTTGACTGCTACTTGTATCTGTGAGGAAGACAATCTTTCCCT